GCAGGTTATCAAGTTAAGGATAGAGATGCGGAACTTCTTCGCATGTGCTCACTCCGTGACCAAAGCTGAGCAGTGGAGCACTGGGAGGATCCGGTAAGTTGAGATCGAATCTTTCTCGTTGGCAACAGGATTCCTCCTCCTACCTCGCATGCGACCTCCATCTTATAACCCCCTCCCCTCATCATCCGCTCCTCTTTTAACCTTTTCCCCTAATCCCCCTCCCTTCCACTTCCACTCCCTCCCTCCCTCCCTCCCTCCCCTCCCTCCCCTCCCTCCCTCCCTCCCTCCCTCCCTCCCTCCCTCCCTCCCTCCCTCCCTCCCTCTCTTTTCGTTCTTCTCCCCGCTCTCTCTCCTCCTATTCTCAAGTTTACTTCTCCCCATTTCTTTTCGCTCCAATTGATGTGAACTCCCACTGATCTCTTCTGCTTCCTTCAGAGCACCATTGCAAAGCTCAGGGCTGCGAGCGGGTTGGCTAACCTTGACAGCGGGAAGTACAAGATAGTAAGGACGAGAGGCGAGCGAACGAGGTGGCTGAGACCATGGCAGGCCGCGACCAAGTTTACCTCAATGAAGTTTGAGGAGAAGAAAGAGAACAACCAAACTGTGCGTAGCCCTCCGACCTGCGATGTCAGGGCCGTGACGATGAGTTGGTTGTCAGACCATGAAGAACATTCACCCCGACGAGCTTGCATTCAATGAGGTCTTGCCCTTGCCTTGTCCCTCCGCCACCTCTGACATCGAGACGGAACTCGCAGGTCATCGCCCCGCACGACGTGGCCATCTATGGTGGCCTCTGTGCTCTTGCCACATTCGATCGCTCCGAGCTCGCGGCCAAGGTATGGGGAGACGATCGCCGTCCTCCTGCTGATCCGCCCGGTCAGGTGATGGAGGATGCGGCGTTCAAGCAGTTCCTCGAGCTCGTGCCCGACTGTCGGGAACTTATCTCCGACTTCTACCACAGCCGATACTCCTCCTGCTTGGTACTCCGATACTACCTTCTCTCCCTTCCTTCCCCCTCCCCCTCTCATTCTCCCATCCTCCACTCCCCTCCTGCCCTCTGCTTCTCCCTCACCCTGGACTTCTACAGGCTCTCATGGAGAAGATGAAGGGAGATCTCATGCTTGACATGTACATGAACCCACATGTCGACAAGCTCTACGAGATGATCCGCTCGAAGGCCTTAGTCCAGGTGAACCTTTTTCAACCCTTTCCGCTTCCTCTGCCACCTCCGAAGCGTCTCTCCTGAGCCTTTCATGTCCTCCCTCCACCTCGATCTTTGACCAACTTTTCCTTCCTCGCGCACGAGTCTCTCCCTCCCTCTCTCCCTCCCTCCCTCCTTCCCTCCCTCCCTCCCCCCCTCCTCCCTCTCTTGAGCTCGTTCCTCCTCGATGGACTGCGACTGACGCACTACCAGTACTTCACGCCTTTCGCTTCCGTCCAGATGCCGCTCATGGCACAGGCGTTCAGCACGAATGTGGCAGATCTGCAGAAGGAGCTGACGCAGGTGGGAGGAGGAGGAGGAGGAGGAGGAGGAGGAGGACGAAGAGAGCTGAAAGTGGAGCAGCTCATCATGAAGAAAGAGATCAAGGCAAGGATAGACAGTCACAACAAGACTGTGTACGCACGTCAAGCGGATCAGGTGGAGAGGAGAGGAGGAGGATGCCTTCCCTCCCCTCTAACCATCACTGCAGGAGGTCAGCACCTTCCACCGTGCGCTGCAGATGGGAATGGAGTACGAGAGACAGGTACGGAGAGGAAGACGAGTCCATGACGATGGAGGAGGAGGGAAGGAGGTGGTGGTGGTGGTTGTGGTGCAGGAGGAGGAGGAGGAGGAGGAGCTGATCGCAACGATAGACGACTGCTCTGCTCCTCCGTCTTGACCTCATCCGCAACGATCTTTCCATCAAGGCGAACAGGATCCAGGGGCCCCCACGAGGCGACAGGGACGAGGACTAGCATGTCACGTACTGTACCAACAGAAGCCTAGCAGCACATGTCCCGTCATGCCTCGTCATGCATGATCAGCTCCTCCACCAGGCTCCCGTCCAGCGTCTCCTCCCCCCTGCTGCAATGGTCAACTCCTGCTCCTGTTCCTACTGCTCCCCCAGCCCCACATCTCTATTCTGTCTCCTTCTTGCTCACTGTTTCTCCCTCCCTCCGGCTCTCACAAACTCAAATCTCCCATTCCCGTCCCTTCGACCCTTTTCCTTCCTCTTTTTGGCTTCTCTACCCATCGGTGCCAGTGATCCTTCTTACCACCTTCTCCTCCCTCCCTCCCCCCCTCCTTCACTCACTCCTCTTCTCCCTCCTCCACCTCACCTTGCACCATCCACATCGATGCTCTCCTCCATGTCAACGCTGTTGCTCGTCGTATCCACCTGCTCTCGTCCTCAGCGCACGTGACAGAAGCAACTTGTCTGCCTCCACCTTCCCCTCGTCGTCCCCCAGCACTTTCATCACCGACTCCCCCTTCTGCTCCCCGTTGCGACCTGCTCGTCTCCTTCACCATCCAGAGAGCGTGCGAGTCCTGCCGTACCTCTGCTCTTCACGGACCGATGGCGGGAACGAGCCTCTGGGGGCAGCAGCGCGTGCTGATCCGCCATCTCCATGAGCGACGTCGGGGTCTTGGCCGGCTTGTCTGCGAGAGAATGAGGAGGGGGAAAGGGGGAGGACGAGGAGAAGGAGGGAGGGGGCGGAGAGGAAGAGAGGGAGGGGGGGAGGGGGATAGGAAGACGGGGCAGGTGGTTGCACCTTTGACAGAAGTAGAGTTGAGCTTTTCCTTGAGGGCTTCTACTTCATTCTTGAGCTCTTCTAACTCGTCCTTTGCTGAGGAGAGCTGCAATGAGATTCGTCAGATGAGGAGCGACAAGGGGGGCGGAGCAGAGAAGCGCTGTGTAGGGCAGAGCACATCCAGAGCAGGACAAGGGCAGGGCAGAGTGAACAGATGAGGAGAGGGGAGGGAGGTTGAAGAACGGGGAGGAGACGAGGCGAGACGAGTCGAGCAGGAGGGTCAAAGGAGAGGTACAAAAGCATTGCAGGGGCCGTGGGATGTGCGGAGCAGTTGAAGGCATCGCACCTCGTACTCTTTCTCCGACAGCTCTGACTTGAGGTCTTCCACCTACACCCCATCATAAGCCGCCGCTGCCTCCTCCTCCCCTCTCTTCTTCCCCTCTTTTCTTCTCTGCCATGTTGGGGAGGTTGGGAGAAGGAGGGGGGGGGAAGAGAGAGAGAGAGAGAGAGGAAGGATGCAGGAACAAAGAGGAGCTGCTCGTTCACCTGCTTCTCCAACTTCGTTTCCTTCTTCCTGAGCTGCTCGTTCTCTGCCTTGAGCTTCGTGCTCTCCTCCCGCAACTTGTCCGACTCTCCGTGCTTGCCCCCGTTCCTGCTCGCCTTGTGCTTGTCCTCCCTCATCGGGCTCGCGCTCTCCTCCTGAGCCTTCCCGTGCACCTTCCTCTGCAGCTCCGCAACCTGCAGGCTCAGCGCTCGGTTCTCGTTGACCTTGCTCTGCAGGGCCGCCTCCTTCATGTCGACCTGCTCCTGCAACGCCTTCATCTGCTCCGCCTTCTCCTTCAGCTTCAACTTGTGCAGCTTCTTGTCCGACTCTCGTGCTGCCTCGATCGTGCTGAGCTTCTTCTGCATCATCTCCGCCTGCTCGCTCGATACCCCGGGGGAGGCGGTGGCAGCCACCGGCTCGCCCTCCCCACTGCTGTTCTTCGCCTCCTTCACCTTCGCCTCGGCTGCCTTGCACTTCTTCTCCGCTCGCTCTGCTCGCTGCCTCAGTTGCTCTTCGATCGCCTGACGCGACTTGAGCGCCTTCTCAGCGATCTCAAGCTTTTCCTTCACCCGCCGCGTCTCCTCCCTTGAGATTTGCAAGTCCCCGACGAAGCTTTGAATCTTGTTGGCGTACTCTGCGTCGATGTCCTTGTTCGCCTGGATGATTCTCTCCTGCCGGCTCATGATCGTCTTCAGCGTCTTGATCTCCTCCTTCAGCTTCTCCTGCTCCTCCCCCTGCATCTTCAGCTTTCCTTCAAACTCCACCAGCTTCTCAGGGTTGCGCGCGTCGATCTGCAGCCTGAGGTGTTTGGTCTCGTTCTTGTAGGCCTCGATCTGCTTGTGCAGCTTCGCTACCTCGGGGGACTCACGGGAGATGTCCTCAAACGATCCCTGGAACTGCAACTTGTTCTTTTCCGCCAGCTTCCTCTTCAGCTGCTCCACCTCGAACTGCGCCGCCTCAAGGTTCTTCTCGCTCTTCCTCGACCGAGCCTTCTCCCTCTTCACCTGCTCCTTGTACTTAGCAACCATCTCCTCGTTCTCCTTCTCCGCCTGCGCCTCCAAGGCAGCGATGCGCTCCTGCGCGCTCTGCAGCTCCTGCTGCAGCTGCTCTTTTGACATCATCGCCTCCTTCATCCTCAGCTGGAACTTCTCTTCCAGGTCCTGCTCGTGCTGCTCGAGAGCCTTCCCCGTCGCCTGCCTCTCGAGCTTGATGTTGTTCTCATGCTCCTCCTTCGCTCGCCTGGCAGCATTCTTCTCCCGCTCGATGCACTCAATCTTTATCCTCTTGATCTCCTCCTCCTTGGACGAGACCAGCTCTTGCTCCCTCTCCTTCAACTTCCTTTCATGGTCCTCCTCCAGCGCTTTCATCTTCTCCCTCATGGAAGACAGCTGCTCCGTCAGCTCTTCCACCCTCTTGGCACTCTCTTCGCTGACCATGCTCGATGTCGCCATGGCGCGCTCCCATCGCTCCCTCTCTTCCTTCACCGCAGCCTCCACCATTGCGGTCACCTCGGCGTTGGGCTGCTCCGTCCCTTTCTGTTCTGCCATATCAACTTTCTCGAAGAATCCAACCTTCTCGAAGCTTCTCCTCCTTTCAGCTCACCATCTTCGTCTCAAACGTGCTCTCGGAGAAATACGGTCTCCTTGTTTTCAGTCCGTTCGCATCGTCCACATCCTCATCATCCTCCACAGCCTTCCTCTATGTATGTCCCCTTCCCTCTCTCTCTTCCTTCTCTATTCATGTCCTCCTGCTCATCCTCTCTCCTCCGCCTGACTCCTCTTCCTCCTCCCATGTCCTAGCTCCCACCAGTCTCTCCACCATACACACCCAACCGCAACCCTACCCCACCTCCCACCTTTCAAAAATGTACTACCCTCACCCAGTACTTTTTCAAAATTTGGCTTGATAGTGGGAAATATGTTGAAATATTTCATGAAATGCTCACGAAAATTCGAAAGTTCTCAGTCAATATTTTCTCTGGTCATTGAATTATTTCACCCACCCCCCACGAAATTCAAGAACCCCTGCTCTCTGAGAAATTTGTGAGGCGGTAGAATGGCGTGGAGGATCGTAGAGGGCACAAAGGATCGATGAAGTGAGAGCGAGAGACGCGGACAGGAATGGGCGGGGAAGGGAGAGCGCAGGAGAGAAGGTAGCATGAGAGCAGAGAGCAGAGAGCAGAGAGCAGAGAGCAGAGAGCAGAGGGAAGGAGAGGGGAGGAAAGGAGAACCAGATTTGTAGCGAGGAACACCTTACCGTCCGTACCGGGCAGTGTACACGTTTGTCAGGCCCCTCGTGAGAAGGAGAGGATAGGGAGGAGGGATCATGGAACACGAGGAACAGAGGAACAACATCTGCATGCCATGGCTCCTCACTGATAGGCCATAGATCATGGAAGAGCTCGGGGGAGTTACCGCACCCACTATGGCAACTTGAGACCTCACTGACCCCGGTGGCTGCAGATGTGCTCTTCCGCACTGGCTCCTTGGGCTCAGGCCGGAGGATCAGAGGAGGAGATGTGCTGAAGGTGATGCGAGCAGCGAGTGTGGGAGCTTTCACAGGATCCAGCTAGACTTTACAAGCACAAGCAGAGGGCAGGTGGAGATGGAGAACCTGACGGACATCCACAAGGTGAGAGAGGCCTTGGAGCCTTCCTCTTCCCTCATGCCGGCACTCCAGGATGAGCTTCGTCGCATGCTGGAGAAGTTCCAGAAGCAGAAGGTCGAGATCTCGTCGATCTCCTCCTCCTCAGTCATCCCGAGGGCTAGGCAGGAGAGATACAAGCCGGAAGGAAGGAGGAAGTGGGGCGACAGCGACGAGGAAGGTTGGCTGCTGCAGGTTGTCATATGATGTAGGCTGATGCCACGGGCAGGACTTGGCGACATGGGCGGCAGCAGCAAGTACGGGCTGTCAGAGGACAAGGACTTGAAAGCTTTCGACGAAGACTTCAAGAAACTGAGGCTGGAGCGGGAGGAGCTGGTGGAGGAGACCAACGGGCTGAGGGCAGACATGCGATCCTTGATCGGGGACGAGCGGAAGGGGGAGAGGAGGCACAAGCCGCAGGACGTGAGCTTCCTGCAGTACACGACTGCATCGTCTCCCGCGAGGGGAGGGGAGGACGAGTCGCTGGTGGATGACTCGCGCTCTCGACAGACGAGGGGCACTCTTGCACAGGATGTGTCCAGCTGGTCTGCAGGAAGAGATGAGGTGGACAAGAGGAGGGAGGTTGTCCTTGTCGCCAACAGAGGGTGGAAGGGGGAGGAGCACGGGAGGGAGCAGGCAGACGCAGTGCCGTCTGAGCGGCAGTCTTCACGTGCGAAACCTTCGAGGAGGGCTGCAACGCCCGATGAGGAGCAGGAGGAGGGAGAGACGTCGAGGTCTGACCTCGAGTCGAAGTTCCGAGTGCTGTGCAGGAAGCAAGCATCTCTGCAGGAGCAGGCGATCACTGTTGAAGCTCGTGAGAAGTCGCTGAAGACGAGGGAGGAGAAGTACGCCAAGTTGCTGGAAGAGTTTGGCGAGCAGAGGACGAGGTGGAGAGGATCGAACTCTAATCGCATGCTGGTGATCCTTCTGCAGGCTCAAGTCGACCCAGGAAGCTGTCTTCGCCCGCGCTGCCAAGCTCGAGGCAGAGGAGGAAAGGCTGAAGCGAAAGGAGCAGGTGGGTCAGGGTGTGACGGTCGAAGGAGCTGATTACTGCTTGAAGGAGATGAACGAGAGGATGAAGAGGATGAGAGACGCTGAGGAGGAGGAGGAGAAGGTAGAGGAACGTTGCTCGGAAACCACCGCTTCTCATTCCCATGGCAGAGGAAGGCCGAAGCGCGGGCCGAGCAGGAGAGGATGAAGATGAGAGTGGAAGAGATGGATAAGAGGGAGAGGTACCCCTTTCTATCACCTACACCTGCTCTCCCTCCCTCCCTCCCTCCCTCCCTCGTTCTCCTCCTTTCCCCCTTGAAGAGTTGACTTGCAAACACAGAAACCTTCAGGCGCTTCAAGCGCAAGTTGATGAAAGGGTGAAGAGCAGCGAAGAGATGAGGAGGAAGGAGGCGATCCGCGTGGAGGAGAGCAAGCAGGAGGTAAATGGAGTGAAGGACGTGTTGTAGCTTTCAAAGGGTGTGGTAAGGAAAGGAAGAGGGAGGAGATGGGAAAGGGGGGGGGGTGAATGAAGGAAGTTAATGGGAGGAATGGACATAAGGAAGAGGCTCACTGTTTCTCAAGATCAAGAAGCTGGCGGATCGCCTGCAAGAACTTCTCGCGTCGAATACAGAGGGTGAGGGGACGGAGGAGGAGAGGAGAGGAGAGGAGAGCAGCTCTGTCCTTCTGTGCATGGAGTTGGGATGATTCCGGGCGGCAGTTGAAAATCTGCTCAAGGACGAAAGGAAGGGCCTCGAGGAAGAGAGAAACAAACTTGCAGCTAAGGAGCAACAAGTGAAGAGGATGGGGAAAGAGCTGCAGTCGAAGTTGGAGGAGGAGGACGTTGTCAAGGTCTGTTTGCCCAGACATGAGGAAAGTGGTGACAAGGAGACGGCAGGAGGAGCTGAAGGAGCTGACGAAGCGCGTGAGGGAGCTGGAGGAGACGCTCGGTGCGTGGACTCATCCCATGCAGGGCCCAGCTGAGCTTGTTCGCGGCAGTGCTGAAGGACGGGGAGCTGAACGAGGTTCAAGAGCAGCTGCATGAAACAATGCTGCTCGTGGAAGAAGAGCGAGCGAGGAGAGCAGATGTGGAGCTCCAGCTGAAGAGGAGGCAGGAGGAAGTAGAGGAGCTTCAGCAGGTGACGTCCCGTCCTCCCTGCCCTCCCTCAGATGTTGCGGCAGAGGAGGAAGGAGGATGAGCTGGAGCTGGACAAGAGCCAGACGCTGGTGAAGACGTTGAAGCGACAGGTGAGAGTTGCTGATGTCGTCGTCGTTGTCGTCGTCATCATCATCTCCATAATCGTCTCTATCATCATCAACGCCATCATCATCATCATCATCGTCGTCGTCGTCGTCGTCGTCATCATCATCATCATCATCATCATCATCATCATCATCGGAGTTAGCATCACCTCCACCTTCTTTGCCTCTCCTTGCTCTGTCCTTGTCTCTCTCCTACTGATTTTCCTTGCAGGTCGGCAGCCTGGAGCAGGAAAGGGCGAGGCAGGAGGACTCAGAAGAAGAGAGGAAGAAGCTGCAGACCTGGATCGCTCAAGTCCGCGAGCGGGAGGAGAAGCTGACAAGAGTGGCCAAAGAGATGGAAGAAGCGTCTGAGAAGCAGGAGGCGGAGCTTGAGGAGAGGAGCAAGACGCTGCGGGGCAAGTTGATCCAGCTCGAGGAAGGTCATGACATGTTCTTCATCTCGGGCTCCTCCGTCTCTCCCCGCTGTCCTCCTTCTCCTTCTCCTTCTCCTTCTCCTTCTCCTTCTCCTTCTCCTTCTCCTTCTCCTTCTCCTTCTCCTTCTCCTTCCTCTCCCTCGTTTCCTCCACTCAATCTCCATCTCCATCTCCATCTCTCCTCTTTTCCTCTCGGTTTTCCCTCGCCCTTCCTTCTCTCTCCTCGCAGCTGACCAGAGTGCAGAGGAGAAATCTCTTGCCCGGAGGAGGGCGAAGCTGCAGGAGGAGGAGGAGGACCGACGACGAGGTTTGACACTTGCGGCGGGGAGGGCGCTGATTGACGCCTGGATGGGGCAGAATACAAAGGGAAGGAGCAGGAGCTACGTGAGCGGGAAAGGGAGCTGAGTAGGAGGGAGGAGCAAGTGAAGCAGCAGCAGCTGAAGGTGGATGCGAGGGAGGAGCAGGTGCTGGAGCAGCAGGCGTCGCTGGAGCAGCAGGCAGAGAGGGTGCGCAAGGAAGCAGACTGGAGCAGCCAGCAGATGCAGACGCGCATTTCCAAGGATGCAGAGGACCTGATGAGACAGCAGGAGGCCCTTGCAGCTCTTAGAAGCGAGCTGGAAAGAAGGGAGAAGAACCTGCAGGAGCGGGAGACCAGCCTGGCAAAGTGGGAAGGAGAGGTATTCCTCCTGCTCCTTGTGTTCCTGCCTGTCTCTTCCACGACCGCCTCTTCCTCCTCCTACGAATTCCTTCTCCACTACCTACATCCTCCTACATCGTCACCCTTCAGCTACACCCTATCTTCGCTTCCACTGCTCTCCTTATCAAGAGTACATCTCGTCCTCCATGCGTCTCCCTTCCTCCTCCCCCTGCTCGCCTCACCCTTCCCCCAGATCAAACAGTCGGCCATGGAGGCTGAGCGGATCATAGAGGCGGCGGATGCTCGTCGGGCGGGAGTGCAAGAGTCGCTCTTCACCCTCTCCCGCGCGCAAGCGGAGCGGCAGACGCACATGACGGGGCTGGAGAGGAAGGAGGAGACGCTGAGAGAGCAGCTCGGGCTCATCGACACGAAGATGGCGCAGCTGCAGGAGAGGGAGAGGAACCTGAGTAGGGAGAGCTCTCGCCTGCAGGAGGAGAGGAGGAAGTTCCATCAGGAGCAGGAGGACGCGGAGCGGGCAGCCCGGGAGGAGGCGCATGTGTTCGAGCACACCAGCAGCGAGATCCGCAAGAAGCTGGAGGAGCTCGCGTCCCAGGCGTCAGACCTGCAGGCTACTCGTGCCGAGCTTGAGGCTCGAGAAAAGGAAGTGAGCGCTGTCGAGGCCAGGCTGGAGGTACTACTCCTGCTCCAAGATCAAGTCCCCGTCCGCTGCTGCTGCTTCCTCCTCCCCTCCCCTCCCCTCCCCTCCCTCCCTCCCT